GGACGAGCACAGGGTTAAATAAACACCGATCCTTCAACCACTTTGCTCCTGCAGTGACACACATCACCATCACAAACAGGTGTAACAAAGTTAATTCCCAGTAAGTAAAGAGACGGAGACCATTAACAACAACATCAGACCAGCGATGTTTTCGTAACAGTTAGTACAGCTGATGGACACACCCAGTGGCCGTTAGGAAGGCAACTCTAACCTTAACTTGGTCGTATTTCTGGGGGGGTATCAGCTGTAATGAAAAATGGAGTTTCAGTATCTCCCACGATTTGGTTACTGATACGGAAGGCGTCCGAAACGTCGAATACTTATCCCATATCAACAAGCTTTACCATTGCATTCTTTTACACATTCCAAAACCTGTTTTAATCATTACATTTGAATTTCTATTCTACCAGGGCCGATTGAATAACATCCAGACTTCGTTTTGTTTTGCAGATTCCAGGTTCAAATCTCGATCCGGAGACCGGCTACCCTGACATTCTTGAGGTTTCACTCTGTCCCTTCCCTCGTTTAGTGCCTTACGTTAGTCTACGACTGCTTTTATTCATATTTTCAATTGCTGACAACATCGTTAGACAAACCACAAATATTGCGCCAGACAAAAGACCACCATTTCCAATTCTATGACTGAAAGCGTGAACTCCAATTCCAAATCTCGTGTATCACTGCGTTAGTGGCTTAATACACAGCCGCTGCATTGTTCTATTATTTAATTATTTAGTGTTCTGTCTGACGACAGGTCCATATGAACAGGATCCTTCCATCCTTTTCTCTTCTCGGACTGGGACCTGTTCATATACGTTCTTGACAGATGATCCAGAAGTGGTTTGCCATTGCCTTCTTCTGTGTTATTTTATTTTGTGTTCTGTCTGACGACAGGTCCATATGACCAGGATCCTTCCATCCTTTTCTCGGACTGGGACTTGTTCATATACGTTCTTGGCAGATGATCGAGAAGTGGTTTGCCATTGCCTTCTTCTGTGTGTGAATGGCGTAATTGTTGGGATGCCACGGAGGAAAACTCCGTGTTGCCTAGACCACGGCCTTGCCCAACACAAGTTATAAATTCGGGCACCGCCGGGAATCGAACCCGAGACCCCCAGGATTACAAGGCCAGCGTTCTAACCGCTAGACCACCGTGGCGGTTTTATTGTTCTATTTCTGGGTATAAAATGCATTTGCTTCATAACAAGTGTACTCCCATTCGTTCACACTCGTACAATATCGGTTGGGGATATTTTATGATTTAATTACGTGTGTGATACATATCAATTTTCAACAGTGTTCCCTATTACTAAGGGTGATAGATCGGAAGCCAACCAGCAGGGATTACTTTCATCCAATCATTAAACGAGGGGTCGGAAAAAGTTTGCCCTCAATCATGTGACGGGCTACGAACAATTTGTAAGGGCCACATGTGACCGGCGGGCAGCAGGTTGCCGACCCCTGAGTTAACCCACATGTTATATGTACCATCTTTAACATTCAACAACTCTGCGTTCTGCTCACGGTGTTTTTATGGGTCTCGTATATCAAAAACATTACCAGAATGTAGCAACGCGCGACCTCAGTTGGGTCAGATGGTCTCCGAGTTTACTTAAACCCGGGAGCTCCCAAATACGAAGCAGCGATACTAACCTCTCGAACATCTGCGTGTCACATCCACTGTTCTCTTCAAATGCACTTTCTGATAAAATCGCGTGTGTCCTATTTCTACGCCGCCACACTTCGCGGAACTTAATTCGAGCATTCATTATCCTTATAAGACTTCCTCCGAATATTCCGTTCATCAATGTTCACAGATTCTGTACAAACGACCTTGAGCACACAAAACGCTTTCTCGGGGTTGAGTCGCCATTTTACTGCCACGTCAACAGCTGCGCTCCTGGTGGACATCAATTGAAGTTACGTCAATTCTACATGCTGTGATAAAACTTTAAATTTCTCATTCCAATGGCGTAAGTGTAATTTGTACGCCGTTTAATGTCTCTTAAATAAATACAGATGTGTTCATATTATGTGTTAAAAACGACAAACAACATTTCAGGAGTCTTTAAGCCCTGACGAATACAGGAAACTGAAAAATAAACGTAACTAACTACATGGTGCAAAGTGATCTTTCAGAAGCTGGTTGTACGATGAGTTTGTGTGTTCAACGAGGACGCTCTAACTAAGCAGAACTGATTAAAACAGTTAATATCAGTTTAACCTACTTGTGAACATACCTGGATCCACACCAGACACCGTTTACAAACCATAAACTAACCTGACCAGTAATAATGAATACGCAGTCTAATGAATAATCTAACCAAACAATTTCGAGCAGGTGCCTTCAGTTTATTGCACAAAACACAAGGAGGTTTATTTCAGTAGCCCAGGCGTTAATGTATTGTTTGGTATACCGTTAAGAGAGCCGATGAAGAGTATATATATATATATATGACGCCTAGAACCTGAATTTATTACTTACAAAGATAAAATCTACTGAAATATTACTCTGTGCAGGCAAATAAATTGATCTCTTTTATTACGGGCGTTCGCAACGAAGTTGCAAAAATGCTCATATTAACTTCGCCTCGTCGATACGTCAGCTTGCAACGGCTCGAGAACCTCTAAATAGATGGATCTGCACAAAATTTAGATAACTTGTGTTGGGCAAGGCCGTGGTCTAGGCAACACGGAGTTTTTCTCCGGGGGCTTCCCCGGTTTCTCCGTGGCACTCCATTCACACACAGAAGAAGGCAATGGCAAACCACTTCTGGATCATCTGCCAAGAACGTATATGAACAGGTCCCAGTCCGAGAAAAGGATGGAAGGATCGAATTTATAACTTGTGTTGGGCATGGCCGTGGTCTAGGCAACACGGAGTTTTCCTCCGTGGCATCCCAACAATTACTCCATTCACACACAGAAGAAGGCAATGGCAAACCACTTCTGGATCATCTGCCAAGAACGTATATGAACAGGTCCCAGTCCGAGAAAAGGATGGAAGGATCCTGTTCATATGGATCTGTCGTCAGACAGAACACTAAATAAAATAATAAATACTTTTAAGCTGCTCCATTTTTCGTAGGAAGCTCTTTAATTTACAGAGAAGTTTAACTGAAAATCAATCTGTATTTCCATCCACGTAAAGACTTCTCCGTCACGCACTCGAAAGACGCAGAAAACTCTTGGCGGTCACATGCTGAGAATTCTACTCTGCTGTTTTAGCATGAGAAGTAATATCCTTCCATCGCCAGTGTATGAACACAAGGTAAGTAGCAACACGAACTCGCCAAACAAGAGACAGGAGATGTCTTACGTCACGCGAAGCAAACCTGACATATGGCACGTGAACCAATCTGTAGCTGTACTTAAGAACAACTTCAACACATTCTAAGCACGTCGTCTCTTCTCCAAAATACAGAACAAAACCATCGAAAAAGGAGGCACTAGATGGGGGGAGTGGTCAGCATCACGTCCCGGCCGGCTTTACCCCCGAGAAAGGACCCTCGGTACCCATTGGACAGGAGACTGGGTGGGCCCCGGAGCCAGTCTGGACAAATCTGCCCCCGACGGGGATCGAACCTCTATTGTCCTGTCCGTAGCCGGTCACCATACTGACTGAGCTACACCGGTCCATTGGATAAAATCATCATAGCATTTATAAAGACGAAGAAATCAGCCAAGCCACAAGATTTCAGTTCCGCCGTAATTTTTTCATGCATATTCGCACGTTTCAGTTAGAAAAAGCAAATCTTTCGTGATTAGAATTCAACACACAAACAGGTTCATCACTGATAGTTTTATCTAATATGAGTTAGCGTTTGCTTTCATTAGCCTACATTTTTATCAGCCAAGAATTACAATTTATGTCCACGTAGTTTCGTAGTCTTTTCGTGAGGCGAAATTATGTGGTGTGCCGTCATGCAAAACCGAAATTCTCTCTCTCACACACACACAAAAGTTACCAGCACAACAAACTACTCAGTCAATATCACGTTTCTTCCTTGTGTTTACGTACTTAAGTACGAGGTGCGATCGGAAAGTTTCAAGACTGTGTCAATAGAGGCCGAACCGGATGTAGTACGAGCTTCTACCGCTAGGGGGTGCGGCCTACATTCATAGTGAATCAGTGTGCCAGCCGGCATCATCGAATTAGCATTTGTTTCTTAGTTACGGGCGTTTTGGTAGTGCATTACACCGACCCTCCTGCGATTTCGGAATGGCGTGTGCATCAAATTTTGCCAAAGACTCGCCAAAACGGCTAAGGAAACCTATGAAATGCTAAAGCAAGCATTTGGGGAGTCCGCAATGGGTCGTGCACAAACGTTTGTGTGGCATTCACGTTTTAAAAAGGGCCGGCCGAACCTCTGTCGATGATGACGAGAGTTCTGGACGACCATCTTCGAGCACAACGCCCGAAAATGTTACGAAGATCGAAGTCGTACCATCAACGACTTGTGCGACATTGTTGGGATAGGCTATGGGACCTGTCAGCTGATTCTAAAGGAAGAACTCCACATGCGACGCATCCTGTCTGAGGACCAGAAGCAGAATCGACTTCTCGTTTGTCAGGAACTCAAAGATCTTGCAAGAACCGACCCCAACTTCCTTTCTAAGCTCCGTGTGACTTCTTCCTCTTCCCAAAGATGAAAATTCAGCTAAAGGGAAGGAGATTTGAGACGATAGAAGAGATTCAGGCAGAATCGCAGATGGTGCTTGACAGGCTGACAAAGAAAGATTTCCAGGGATGCTTCCAGGCTTGGCAGCGGCGCTGGGATCGTTGTGTTCACTCCCAGGGGAACTACTTCGAGGGTGATGGATGAATTTAATACCTGAGATAAGTGTACGGGATTTTATACGCGCAGTCTTGAAACTTTCCGATCGCACCTCCGAAGCTTCGGCGCTTGTTTGAGCATTTTGTCGCTGCATTCCAGGACCAACTCAGATTAAAACAACTACTTTAAGAGGGGCGTGGCCACAGAAATTTGTCCAACCTGTAGGTGCATTTCTATTCTGCTTTATAAAAAGTCGTGAGAGCGCTGACATAATATTTCATTACACAAAATTAAGAATGTCTGAAAGTTAATCGCGTACATAAGATGGTAACACCTTTTAAACATGAGTAAGACGAGAGAAGGCACAGAAAACTTCAAGTGTGACGTTGCTCACCTCACAAAAAAGCCATAAGCTGAATAAAACTTGAAAAAAATTGTAATAAATCAGCACATTCCTCAGTTCCATAGGTTTCTTATTCTCCATTATTCTAGGACCCAAAACTTTTACGAGATAGACATAGGTCAGACATATTGCTAACGTTGGGAGCGGACTGCTCATCAGAGGCCATTTGGCTGTCCTTGGATCTGCAACACAAGAAAGATATTACATGAAAACTGTGACATTGCTGCTCCGAATCTGTTAATAAATAAATACTTTTATTACCTTTAACAACTCTAGACACTAATAAAACACAGAAGATCTTAATTAGAGATTATAATGTGTATAAGTGAAAATACATCAAAAAGCAACTCCTACGCCTCCGTTAGTTTAAAAAGCGGTTCCTGGTTCTGACCGAGTTCAAAATTTGGTCCAAGAAAACCGGTACAAGGCCACGGAAGACACAAGTCAAACAAGATCCATTCGGATGATTCATAACATAAATAAAGCTAACATGTTTGAAGACATAAAAATTACAGTTACTTCTAAATCGACGCAATGAACACTGATGTTGTACCAGGCTTTAAAAATTCGTACGTAATTACGTCGTTCATCCAAGTCCAGAAGTTCAAAGTCGAATATTTGTGGAATCCAATTATCCTTTCGTCAGTTTTATAAGGTTAAAATGTATCGATGTAGTTCACTTTAAGGAAACGAGTGACGAACAGGTGCTGCCACTTAGTTTCTCCAAGTATCTGACCTTGGAAAGTTCAAAACTATCTGAAACTTCCACTTAAAGCCTCTCAAGGCCTGTGTACACACACGGATTTTCCTTACACGTACACTTTAAGGTTAAAATATGCGCACAAATCTCCAGTTCGTATGATACCTGCAGCTCCAGCATTCTTTAATTTATATTTCGTAACGTGAGCAGGGTTTTCCGGTTCCCGCTACAAACACGAATATGGTGATTGGAGAAGAAACTTCTAACGTCATGTTTCAGTTACGGCCCTGGTACAAGTGGATTTCCAAGGCCAATAATTTACATGAGGAAGAAGTCTGTGACCCTGCATGGATTCCGATGGACGTACATATTCATCTGTGTTTTCCGTCCATCACTAACTAACTACCTGGCTTAGGGAACTCGAAGGTTCATCACCGAATAAACCAAAGCCCTCCATCGGGCCAACAAAATCCAGTCTCCTTCGACTCCTATCTCCCACAGATCCCGCTTAATACTATCCTCCCATCTACGTCTAGGTCTCCCCAGCGGTCTCCTCCTCTCAGGCTCAAATGCACCCTAGAAGACTCTTTGTTCATGAAAATCCGCCATTCCGAAATCGCAGGAGGGTCGGTGTAATGCACTACCAAAACGCCCGTAATAAGAAACAAATGCTAATTCGATGATGCCGGCTGGCACACTGATTCACTATGAATGTCGGCCGCACCCCCTAAACGCAGAAGCTCGTACTACATCCGGTTCGCCCGCTATTGACACAGTCTTGAAACTTTACGATCGCACCTCGTAATTTTACGAAACAAGCAAAGGGTTAAACATTTAAATTTCCGTCCCACTAAAGCGCTGCTTGTAGCTAACGTAAGTTACTTACATTAACAGCAAGTATTTTCTGTACGAAAGCTGTTTTATCAGATCTACACTCCCTTTGGCAAGAAGCCGAGAATGGAAAACCGAATAACACTGCTTCGTACCTGAATTCAATTCAAACACTCGAGGAATGGCGACGAACACTTAACGATGTCAGTCTTCTGTCACCTTGATCCGTTTCGCGAAAGCGTACACACCAGCAAGAACATTCAGCCTCCGTTAATAGGCCAAGGTCTAATTGATACGAAAACTAAGATGGCTGTCGTCTGGGTTGACGACATTTCACATGTCCTTGTTCCCTCCCCGTCGCCCTGACGACTGAGCAACAAGCAGCTCTGAAACGTCAGTAGACTTTTACCAGAATACACGGCGCTTCAACCCAGAAGACAGCCATATTCCTCTAAAATGGTGTTTGAACAACTTTAACGATTATTATTCCGACAGATGGACGTACAGTCGCTACAAGCACAGAGGGATGAGCAGGAAAGGCAGCTAGCTGCATACACGGCCCAGAGCGTAGAGGAGCGCCATAAGCGGCAGTTCCTAGTATTACGTGAAATACTTTTAATACCAGAAAGTTCCTCCCGAAGACAGGAAGATGTGTTCTGGATAGCAAAACGGTACCAATGGAACTGCTTGGTAACCCTAACGATACAGTGAAAGAGTTAATTTTGAAACAAAATACTGGATATATAAACTGCTTGTGCGATAAATGCAAAATGAAGAAATCAAAATGATTAACCACCGTTTGATGTTTGTCTGTTTCCTGTGTTGACAATCGCAAATAGTCTGGGTCATTCGCGCGGACGTAAGAGTTTCTGCGAAAAATACCTTCCCAGTTTTACATTTAACCGTTGCACAAAGTTGTTTCCGTCGTATAAAATTACGTGCTCGATTATTTAATGCCGGAAGTTTGCCATTTTCCCCTCTCCAGAAAGGCCAATGTCATTCTGTGATTGTGTGTTAAATACTAACGCACATAGTTGTTTGTGACGGAAATATTTATCACAACTTCAAAGAGTTAATTTACGAACATTAAAAGCAATGTCAAATGAAATACAAGCATTTTCCATTGTTGATAAACGTCATAACAAAGTCATCACTTCTTAAAAATATCACTAGTCAGATGTCGCCAACAATGACTTCCAATTCGCACTGCTTCGAAGGGACTTCACGAGCTGTGGCCAATTATTACATATTCATAAATTAAGAATAAACGCTGTCCCAACTTGCACATAAAGCCAACGACCTTGGTTGGAGCGAAACACAAACAAGCTGTGTCTAGTTCTGTTTCGAATAAGGAAGAATTTCCAGAGTAGTGAAAGGAATCTACATAAAAAGGACGGGCGATAAATTTCACTAGTAATTACCTATGAATATCACCACGATCAGCTACACATACAAATTCATTCAACATTCTCCGGTCAAGGTTAACTGCATGCAGAGAAGGAACTGGACTTCGATGTAATCGATCGGCTACTGATCGAGTAATCGAACATTCGTCAGACACAGATACTCGAGAAAAAAGTTGACAGTGGAACCACGGTTCCGGAGAATTTGACGTAAATACGTCTATACGGAAAGGAAGTTTATATATTGGCTTTATTCTAAATATTTCCTTTATACAGGCTTTACATTTGAGTAAGGTTTGATGAAGACTTTGCTTAATCAACTTGAATTAGT